TTGTAAGGATTGTTTAAAAAGATGCTGTTTCTGATTGTACTGCTGGGTTCAGTGTTTTAGGCTGTTTTTGAATACCCAATTTAGGTTAACACTTCAATGAATAAAAGGACTCATGATGATTTTGTGAAAATTTGCCAATATTTTAATGTAAAAGAGTTTTAAATTTGTGTGAATTTAATGACAAATTTCAAAGAAGGAATTTATTGCTACTAAAAAAAGTGATGCTTATATTTTAATAATGTTATGATTAGGCAATGAAAATCTTATTGAGCTTTAACAATAATGAACTTTGGCTGAGTATGGCTGTGTCACTGACTGTCAATGTAGACATTCTCTCTCAGATTCAAGCACTTAATCCTATGCTAAAAAATGAAAGCAATAACACAAGGTAACCTTTGGTTTGCAGTTACTAATATTCAAAGGAAAATATTTAAGTTCCCTTATAAATCTCACAGACTGTTTCAGTCTTTGTTTGTAACAGAAAATAAATCCTCCAGCTGGTCTACTAATGCAGATGATAAACTATCACTCAGTCTAATTTGCACTTGAAATAATTATGCACTCAGCTTTGGATTAATTCATTTTAATCAATTCTTGAACCAAGAAGTTGAAACATCTTTCCACTGGGATTTCTGCAATAGCTGTTACCCTGTAGCTTTTCCAGACAATTTGCAAAATATGCAGGCAACAGCACCAAGTGCCATATTAGCTCAGGAGTAGGAATGATGGAAAAATCAATAACATTGAAAATAATGCAAAGAGAATGGTTTGGGGTATATCTATTATTGTGGGTAGTTTTTTTTGTTTGTTTGTTTTGTTTTGTTTTGTTTTTTTGTAGCTGTAACAAAAATTTCTAGTGGCAAAAGTCTACTTAGTTCACAAATCTAGATTCATTTCAATTTGACATAGAGCTGTATTTAATAGCTTCTCATGAAACCAAAATGGAAGTCATCTCTATCTGCCCTGGAAGGAAGGAAACATTCTAACAAGAGAGTGCACTCCAGCACTGAAGATCTTTGTTTCACCTTGAACTCTTTCTGGGTTTCTGTGAGAATTCTATTAAAGAATTAACATTTATTTCATTTTTATTAGGATTATATGACTAATGGAAGCACATAATTCCTGAATTTAGGGTATGCAGTGAATTGCCACTTTAGTGCTAAAAACATGTTCAAGAGTTAAATCTAATCCAAATGATGTTTAATCCCAAATATAATGAATTAGATTTTGATACCTAGATTTCATGGTGATTGAAAAAAAAAGAATATTGCAACATATTAAATTTAAACTTTCAGAGGCTTTCATTTTAGTCAGCATTTTGGAAGTTACCTGGTTTTGCTTCAGCAAAATATTGTTCTTCTTATTCATAATTATCTAATATATCCAGGCTACTGAGTATCTATTAAAGTAAATATCATGCTAAATAGATAGATCATGTTATGTAATAAAAATAAATAGTTCTAATAGCATAAGGTAAATGAAACAGCTAGATCTCCTTATAATACCTTACTAATTTCATTCAGGACCAGAATGGATTAATATTCACTCTTAATTAAAGAGACTGAATCTTATCTTAAAAAAAAAAAAACCCACACAACTAATTTACATTGCTTTTTCAAAAATATACAGTAAAATAAACATGATTATTGCCAATTAGTGGTTATAACTAGCATAAATGAATAAATATAAATGATTTATAATTAGAATATTTTTAAATATATATTTATATGACTTCATGTCTGTGCTTAATTTATATACAGGCACTATATATTATATATTTGTTTATATACTAATAATTTTTAAATTCTTATTATAGTTATATACATCTAACTATATTTCTAATATTTTAAATATAATTATATATATTTATATTCATATGTCCATCTATGCATCTAACTAATCATACTCTATCTATTCAGCCACTTGAAAAAGTCCTTTATCCATAATGACCAAAATAAATTTGATACACAAATCTTTTATAGATAATTATTATGAATGTGAACCAGAGGTCACTTTGCTAAAATGATCACAATTCACCGTTTTGAAATGATAATCACTAAGGTGAGAATACAATTATGCAGGGTGTAACCAATTGGAACATGTGAGTTAACTGAAAAACAAACAAACGTAGAAATATAATCAACAAATCAGAGGCAAATGCAATTTAACACTTTTAAATAATAACTACAAAGCTACTCTCTCTGTTGACTTTTAATATTTACTTCACTGAGAGCCTGACTTTATCCTCAGCCTTTCTTATTCATTGCTGACCTTTTCCTGTCATTTGATGTTAAATACCATGCGGCAAATGCATCACCAATGCAACATGGCCTTAAGTAGATTAGTACATTGAATATGACCATGAGAAACAGATCTAATTCTTGAAAAGGTCTTATTTATAAGCTTCCTTTACTCCTCATTTTTCTAGTGCATTCATTTACTAACACATACCTTTAGTAGTAAAATTAGTGATTTTAGCATTTCATTATCACTAAAACCTTTGTTTTAACATTTTATCCGTAAAAGGCAATGCCATAGTCTTCTTGATTGTGAAAAATCATTGTCAGGCCAAGTCCTTTCTGTGCCTCATATCCTAGGACACACTAATTTTGAGATCATCTCTAAGGCCTTAATGGCTAAAGTGTCTTGCGTTTTCTGTGTTAAGCCTGTATTGAGCAATGATGAACAAGTAACATAGACATATGAAACAATACAGTTTTAGTATATTCAACCTATGATATAATTATCATGAATATTCCATGTATTAATATGATATAACATGAAATAATTTAATATCTTAGTTATTCAGATTGGAAGATAAATCAGTAGTGGACTTAGTGGACTATGAATCATTTTATTTGATGATACAAATAGTATTATTAGAAAATCTAGAGATATTTCCTCATCTTTACATATGTTGAGACTCTCTTGAGGAAAGAGACAGAATGCTATAGGAAATAAACATGTGACTTTTAGACTCATTTATTTACGAAAACAACAACCTACTACAAAAATGTACTCAGGACTCCATGCTCAGGATTCAAAATGGGAAAACCCAGAAGTTCTTACCAATACATAACCAACCCTCTTTGGTTTTCTTTATTTGGAATGATGGGACTGATCATTTGATTGAGTTCACACCTGTCATTTACCTATAAAATCTGTGATCATGGTGCTTAAATAGCAACATGTCAAACTTGAAAAATTAGTTTTTGTTTCCTTTGTTGTTAATATATATATATATATTTATTTTTTTGGTTTGCAGGCCGTGCAATAGTATTCAAAGTTTCCCAACATATGATAGTGATTTCTGCACAATTTATTTCTCAAACACAGCTGCATAGTGGAATCACCTGGAAAACTTTTTAAAAAATGCCAATATCTGAATTCTACCCCCCAGATATTAAGATGTATTTTAGATGGCAACCTGGGCATTGGGTCTCATACTATCTCCCCAGGTGATTATAATGGGCAGCAGACTTAGCATCTCTGGGGGACTATAACTATGATATTCTTATTACAACTCATTGCTGGATTTGCCACCCAACTTTCTCAATCATTCCATTTACTGAAAAGATGGTCTCCCTCTTTGGTGGTGTGGCTCAGTTGGTTGGGCATCATCCCACGCACCAAGAGGTTGCTAGTTTGATTCCCAGCGCATGCCTAGGTTGAGGGCTTGACCCCCCAATAGAGGGCATGCAGGAGGCAGCCAGTTGATGTTCCACATTCACATTGATGTTTACCTTTCTGCCTCCCTCTCCCTTCTTCTCTCTCTAAAAATCAGCAAAAATATATATTTTTAAAATGATGGTCTCCCTTTCCCTTTCTTCTTTCCCACTATAGAACTTTCTGTCAAAATTTGAATGTACCTTATCTACTATATCACTTACTCTGGCACATTTATTCTGTAATTTTTGTAAACAGGTACATTTTTATACATGTTATAGACAAAGACAATAACTTTTAGCAGTATTTATTTTTGTTAAAAGAAACTGATGGAATTGAAGGTCAAATTGCCTTCTGATTGCACAGATTAAACAAGAAAGTATTTCATATTTCAGTTTTACAAAGCATCTTATTGATTTGAAAAGATCCATACTATCGATAAAGTTCATGATGCAACATATATGTAATAAGAAGACTACCATGTTTATTTTACATATCTACAACATCTTTCTAGACCAACCACAAATTATACAGGAAAATATTTAGGTACATGAAAAAGCTTCATAACAAAAAAAAATTACATTTTGAAAAAAATCACATGTGAAAGCTCATTAAATAATAACATTGACAAATAAATAGTTAATCAACTTTAGTTATTAGCTGCTGCCATGCATTTCTGGCATTCCATTCCAAGCGAGGGTCAGCATGCAGGGTATAATTTCATGCTATGAGACTGTAAAAAGCTTCAGGGCTTATTTTTGAAGTGAAATGTCACAAGGTCTTTCACTCTGTCAAAGGAAGATCACTCATGGCTGCTAAACTGTTCCATGAAGATTGCCAAGAAAAAGAAAAAAGCACCTTTCTAAAGTATTATTATAAATACTCAAGGCTACAGTTTTTTTAACTTTGCAGTTTGGGAGGGATTTGCTGAGTAGGGGGATGGGTTGGGGAGTGCAGGGTCACTAGGAAACCCTTTCTATCTTTTAAAAAGTGATTATTCAACATTTAGTACAATATATGTTGAATAATCACCTGAATATATATATATATAGTATAACCGGTCTTTCAAGAATCATGGGAAATTAAAACTGCAAGATGCATGGGATTGAAATACAAATTGCACTCATGGATGTGTGTACATCTTGAAAAACGTGTAAAGGAAAAAGCTACTCCCAGAGAAGGTCCTGATACTTAGGACAGCTTGCTGGGTTTGATCAAAGCAGAAAGCATGTATTTTCAAGTAAGAGAATAGCAATGGCAGACTTGAGTCTTCCAAGCAAATCAAATCTGTAAAGCAGATGGTTACCAGCCAGTCCAGTTTCAGAGTCTGAGCCCTAACTCATGCTGTGCTTGCTGGGCCTGCTGGCTCTCTTGCGCTCTCTGTGGTGCTGGCCTGGCTCGGCAGGAGACATGTTCTCGAAGTTGTGGCTGGACTCGTTGTGCTGCCGCGTGTACCTCTTACACTTGCAGGCGGTGACCACGGTGACCTTGTAGGTGCGCGTGCTGCCATCTTGGCACTGCAGCTGGATCCTCTGGGTGCGCGTTTTGTCGTTGACACACCTCCACTCCTGGGAGCTCCTCCGGCTCCAGTACTTGGTTCCGTAGCCTCCCCCGATCCAGTTGGGGAGCAGCGGCAGGGGCAGGCACTCCCCCGCGCACACCAGCTCCTTCAGGGGGCTGAGGCTGGTGCACTGGCCATCAGAGATGTACTTGGTGGAACGCAGTTCCCGGCAACCCACTTGAACCCGAGCTGCAGGAAACAGCAGAGAGAATGCGTGCAGAGAGAGGTATCAGCCAATGGGCATTTCTTAAAAGTAGTCTGCAGTGACAAAGATGTTATGCAGGTGATAGCAAATTGCCCAATAGAAAGAAAACATCTATTTTATTTCCACAATGCAAAAATCTGCCTGGATGGTGGTAGAGACACTTTCATGAAAATGATCCGTTTACATAGCTATACATTTTTTAAAATAAACTAAACTTATTTTTGTTCATATATGACATTAACTAATTGCTCACTGGAGTGAGTATTTGAAAATCCCATTTTTTTAATCTCACTCTCCAGGATGGTTTAAGCAACTCTTACATTTAAGTGTAAAAAAGAGTATATTTCAATGATTGTTTTGCTCACAGATCATATTTGTTAATGTCTACAATTGCTTTTATTTAACTAGTTTTTTTAGAAATCTATTGAGAAAATGTGGAAACTATTTAAATACTGTGTAGAATGCATATGTATCTGTAATATTCTGTTTCAGTTATATAACTTACCTGCAAAGAATCATAAATACATATGTACAGTCTGATATTTTGCATATCAAACTTAATAACTACATTTTAAACATAAATTCCCAAGCTATCTTTTAAAAGTACAAATATTAAAATGCTTGAAATGCAAAATGTCACTACAACTCAAATTTTAAAGAATATAAAACCTTCTAAATCAGGAACGTATGGTTGCCATAACAACTTGGCTACATTTCCATGAGTTTTATGGCAGAAAAATGCCTAACATGTCTAATTTACAACTACAAAAGGAACCACGGTGCTCATTTAGTGAATACTGGTCATGGCAAACTTTTTGTTTAGTTATTTGAATTTAATAAGAATGTTCTTTAATTGTTTCTTGTTGCATGCTTTATGTAATTAAAACAAAAATTAATCTTGAAATATTTGAGGTTTCCTTTCCATTGCTTTATTATCTAAACTTGAGGAAAATTGTCTGTAATAAGCTTGGGGGGGAAAAGCAAGGCTTGTTAACCAGGAAAAAAAAAAAGTTTAAAAGTATAACTGCTGACATTTAAAACATTAAAAATTATCAAGGACACTAAGTAGCCTTGCATAGATAGACAAGTGAAGGCTAATTTGAAGTAAGTCTTGAACTAGGAGTTTTACTTCACCTCTGTCTCCCAGTATTTCTGAGGCAAGGAGTATAACCTAAAGGGATGTGAGAATTGTGGAAAATGTCTGTTTGCATACATACATACATACATACATACATACATACATACAGCTATTGAGTGTGGGATTAAAATTAAAGGGTGCAACAGCTGGCCAGTCAGTGTGCTCTCCTGCCTGCCTCTGATTCCAGCTCACCTTCCGGCAGCTACCTCAGGAATGCACCTGGAAACAGCCGGAGATGATTCTGACTTGCCTGCCTGGCTTTTTGTTCTTGTGTACATAGAGATTCAGCATTTTTGCAGTGACAGTTCATTGACAATGAAATACCCACCACACTGCTCAGTAATCTAATAATTATCAGATATTTCCTGTGTACGCCAAAGCAACCATCTCCATGAAAGGTAAAACACCTTGGGATTTTTTAGACCTTTGCAGTCATATGTGCTTTGACCTTTCAAAGGTCAAAACTACTTTTCACAGTTGAATGGAGTTGAGGAGAGGGACCAAAAAAAAAAAAAATGTAAGATTTCCTGTGGTCTCTCTTAAAACCTGACTCTTAGCATGTGAACTCTTCTGAAGGATAGAAATGAGAAAAAGAAATTTAAATCCCTCCAACTAGTGATCAGTGTGTCAATTAAGAACACAGAAAAAGGCAAAAATGCTCCCTGTATAATATATTATTACACTGTTACTATTTTAAAATTTTAAAGGTATATGAGTTTCCCTAGTCTTTCACAGATATATACAATAACCTGAATTTTGATCTGGTTAATAAGAAATTATCTCAGAAAAATATGATTCTCCAACCTGTTTAGTTTTAGCCCTTATTTGCATTGATTATCATCAAAACTTTCAACTATTTCCCTAGACATGTTTTAGAAATTCATGGTGAGCAATTATTCCCCCCAGAAAGTGTCTTTTTTCCCCTTGTGATTTCTTATACATACTTTGGCTAGTTTCCTCTATGCACTTTATCAGAATTGCACATGTTCTGAAATAAACAGAAAACCACCTCAATCTAAACTATCTAGAACAACACTTTTTAAAAATTCTTACTGTGCATGATTTAAAGAAGCAACAGTGGAATTCCTAGAAACATTTTCTCTTTGGATGTTTGATAAAACTTACTAATAAGTATGTGCCTGCATTATCAAATCACTGTTTTAGTTATGCTAACTTTATAGAAACAATGCCATTCTACACATGCAGCAGATTACTACCAGATCATTTAGCAAAACACAGTATATGGTTCCGGTTAGAAAGCGGTGAAACGCATTTACAGGAATGTGAGCTGAGCGCTACCAAAAAAGAAAAGACAGAATCCACAGATGTAAAGCATACTTACTGTTCCGATCCAGTCCAGTGTTACTGAAATGCCTGCCTCCATTTCTGGCTTGATTCATCGTGCTGTTGCTGCTGGGGTGTGCTGGAACAGGTTTTACCACATGTGAATAAAGGATTTCTGTGGCATCATTCTTAAAAGCCAAACAGCTTCTCATTAGGATGCAAGCAAGGGAAATGAGATAGAAATGAATGGCAGGAGGAAGCATGGTGAGTAGAGGATCTGCTTGGCTGGAGAGCTAGTTAATTCCTTTCCCTCTTGCTCCTGCACTGTAACTGTGAAATTCCTCCTCAAGGTTCCCTTTATATATCCCTGAGGTTTGGCATTCATTCAGGTGTAAAGTTGTGTAGAGCTTCAGAGTGAAAACACAGAGAGGGGGTGGGATCCCTACATGACCCTGCAAAAGAATTTTACCAATGGAAGAGGAGACTACAGAAGAGGAGGAGCTTGGTACACAAACTGCCTGAAATTTCAGAGTTGGACTTCATCAGTTGTCTGTGAGCTGCAGCAGCCAGGCACATTCTATAGCAACTACAGACTCTTTCCCTCTCTCCCTGCCATTTCCTTTCCGGAATCTAGTTCCCATTCGGGTTTAATTTCAATGAAAACACGCTGCGGTTCATTTAAAAAAAAAATTTACATTTCCACAGTTGTTCTGTACTCCCCTAAGAGTTTAGATGATTTGGAATAGGGAGGGGGTTTGTCCTAGAGAATAAGAGGAACTAAACGTGTTTAAATATTGTAGAACTTGCCTGAAGCACCTAGTTATATTTTGTTTCTCAAGAAGCAAACCAATATATATTTTTTTTCTTTAAAGTGTAAGGCACAGAGCTAGAATCTGCCCCCTGGACACATTTAAATAATGCAGCTTTGATCTGCATGAACTGCTACACAGCTAGGTAAATTATTGCCAGGGGTCTGTGCAAAGAATAATGAGCATAGCTCTGTTTGCATTAAAGTAATTAATATCTATTTTAATCTTAAAAATATGTCACAAGCATTAACATTCATAGCACCATTTTACATTAAAGAAAGCCCATTTCTGACAGGTTATTGTTTAGCAAATTCAAAATAATGTTTTGTAGTATCCTACCTGTATTTATTAAGTATTCCCTTGGTTCTGCTGCCCATGTAAGAAACATTGTACTTTTATGAACTTCTTTAACACACCTGGAACAGTGTTCTATTAATTAATACTAGGCCACTCTTCTCCATACTTAAAAAAATCATAAAATTTCATCAGATTTATAGGACACTTAGGTTGGAATAATTACATATTTTGAGTAGTCTTTCCAATATTAAATCCATTTTGCCTTTTGTGTGGCTACAATGACCTTGTAGCATGGATATTTTGTATTGCTCTTCTTTATAAACTTTTGCCCATTTTAACTTCTATTTAATCTATCTATCTATCTATCTATCTATCTATCATCATCACATATCTGCATTTTTCACAGTAGCACTAGACATTTTGGGGTAGATAATTCTTTGTTATTTGGCACTGTGTGTTTTGCAGCATACCTGGCTTTCTACCCACTACATGCCAGTAGCAAACTCTAGTTGTAATAAAAATGCCTTCAGACCTTCACAATTGTCATGTGGGTGAATATCACCTGAATTTGATACTAGTAGAACTAATAATTATCTATCCATCTACCTTATCTCACTATAAAAAGAAAGAGTTGAGAAGAAGGCACTATTTCATAGTACTAAGCAATTACTGTTCTTTTATTTAGGAGTAAAATGGGATTGTGGTTTTGTTGAAAAACAATAACTCATTTAGAGTTATATGAAATATTGCTAGATGAAATGATTTGATGTCTGTAATACACTTCAAAATAATATGGGAGTGGATGGTTAGAGGTACAAGTAGGGCAAGATTGGTTATGGGCTAGATGATGGATATTCTGTTTACTCTTGAATATATTTAAAATTGCACATAGTAAACAATTTTAAAACTAGAACAAAAAACAATGTATACACATTGCCTAATAACAATCAGATCCCTGTCTGAAGGTTGTATATAGATGTTTATTCTAATATCATTCCTGGAAAATAATACCTCAGTTTATTAAGTACAAATGGAGAATATATGTCAGGCATCCTTTTAAAGTACTAATTATAAAGAATTTCTTTTCCTGCTTATCAGAGTATTTGACATAAATTTCATGAAGAGTGTTAATATTAACCATTAAGCAGTAGATCCAATGCCTAAAGGAAGTAATAATCTAACCTCTTTCCCATAATTATTTTTTGTGTGTGTTACAGGAGGAGATAATTTAATTTGAAGTTAATTATTACGTTGGGGTAATCAAATTGACCAAAGTAATGCGTAATTGTTCAATCTTCCCTGCACTTAGTAGTCTGCGGGGTCAGCCTTAGGATACTGCCTTAGGCAGATGACAAATTAAAATGAAGGCAATGTGATTGGTGAATGTGGACAGGAACAATGCTGAGTTCTTAGGCTCAATATATCTGTCAGAACCAAATCAGAAAACTACTATGATAAATTAGACATAATTGTAAATTTTATAGTTAACAGTTATCCTGATCAGTTTAAAACTACTTCATTAAGAATAATCACAAACTGTAATACTCTGATAAGATTATGGATATAGATGAATAATATAATTGATTAAGGATGTATTCCCCTGAGCAAGAAACATGTTCTTTCCCATGTTTCTCCTTCTTGGAACATCCTTCTCTCACCTTTTCTCATTCCCTGCCCCCCCCTTTTTTTTCCTGTTAAGTCCCATATTTTGATGATATTAGGACTGAGAAAACTTCCCTTGCCCTCTATCTCTTCATGTCTAGGTTCAGTACCCCATCAATATGTACCAGAGTGACTAGCTTTGATAAAACTATTTTTAAGAATAATATTGAATAAGTGGATAAATTAATTTAAGAAATATAGAAAAATCTGTTCTTTTCTATGTAAAAAGATTGGTTGACATTTGTAGTAGGCAATTGTGAAGATGGCTCCTAATAATCCTCTTCTCACGGGATTCACACCCTGGAAGCTATTCCACCCCTTGAGTGTAGGTTGGACCTAGCAATGAACTTGTAATGAATATAATATAGTAAAGTGACTTCTGTGATTAGGTTACCAAAAGACCATGACTTCAGTCTGGCTTGCCTGCTCTAGCCAACTTACTTTTGATAAAGCCAAACAATATGATGTAAGCTTTCCTGTGCAAAGGTCCACATAGCAAGGAACTGGTGTCTCTCGCCAACAAAGAATTCAGCCGAACAACCCATCTGGATCTGGATTTATCTATAAGTACATGAGTGAAAGCCAAACTCCCCACAGTCAAACCTTCAAATGGGGCTGCAGTCCTGGCTTCCACACCAACTGCAACTTATGGGAGACTATAAGCCAGAGGCATCAAGAACTAGAATTAATAAATGTTGTTTTAACTAAGTTTGGGGGTAATTTGTTATATGGCCATAGATAATTAATATAACATTATTTCCTTAAAAGTGAATATATAGTAGTAATTATGCCATCGATTTTGTTCTATTGCTTTGAAAGCATCAGATGTGGGACTATTAAATATAATGGCTGTGTACCTTTCATTCTTTGAACAAGACTTGAAACCCATTTCCCAGTCCTCAGCTGACAGTCATCAATGTGTTGCCATTATTAACAATCAAATAATGATATTACTATTACTACTGGTCTGATATGCACAAACTGGAAAGTTATTTAAATGCTCTAATTAGTATTGGTTACCATGTGACTCTTGGCAATGGAATCAGAAAATCTAAATTTGAATATTATTTCTACCATTTACAATCTGTTTGAACTTGGATATATTTCCTGAAACTCTCTAAGTCAGTTTCTTAAAATATAACCGAACTAGAGGAATAAAGAACATTAAAGTGTTTAACCCAAAACCTAGCTCAAAAGAAATATGGAAAATATAATAATTGAATGTGAGTCTAAGAGTACTGTTTCTCATTAGAGGCTTTGTTTTAAAAATGAATTTGGAGAGATTCAAGAAATCTCAAACAAATACAATTACCCTAGTTAAGGTAGACAACAGAATGTTGAGAGAAAAGAGATTGCTCAGCCTGATTAAATATGAGATAATGCGTAGGTGTCATTTTATTTAAAAAATATATCCCGACCAATTGTTTTTATATTTGATAGAAAAAGAATCAGAATAGGGTAAATATAAACAAAATATATTTATTGAATGTGATGTTGAGCTAGATCTCGTTCTCTATGGATTTAAACTATTTCAGAAAGATCCAGTTAATAAGATAAAACTTGTAACTTGAAAAGTAATTCATCATCATTATATTAGACCAAAAGAAAAATACTAATAATCTTCATGCATAACACTGTAGAATCTTCATGCATCAAAATTCTTGAAAAGAGGATGGACCAACATCTTTAATACATTTTATTGTTTTCATTCAACATGTGGTAAGCCCATTATTTGTCAGAGCTGTAGTCCAGGAACTGACAAGCTGATTGAGACATGGGCCTGCCCTCTTCCCTTTAGAATTTCACTAAAGGAACTCCCTCTAACCTGACCTGCTTCATGATTTTCTTCTCCCTCACCACCTTTATTAGTTGTGGGGTTTTATTTGTTTGTTGTTTGTTTGTTTGTTTAAGTACTTGTCAGCTTTATTTGTAGAATCAATGTTCTTTTTCTTGTAAGCTGCCTTAACAGATAACAGCAATTTAGATAATGCTGCTTATAATGCCCTGTGCAACCTGATATAAAACTCAAATGGAAATTTCAAAACCAGTTGATATATTTCTAGATAGAGCTTCATCTTAGCACCACTGGCATTATGGGCCAGATAATCCTTTTTGGGGGAGCTGTCCTGTTTGATGTAGAATGTTTATCAGCATCCATGGGCTCTACCCACTAGATGTCAACAGCAGCTCCCTCACTCAGTGATGTCCCCTATGTGCAAAATCATCCTGGGTTATAAATTACTGGTTTAGGCAAATTTTCAGGTAAATTCCTAATAATGTCATGAAACTGCTATTAAGGAAAACTCGCATGCAAGCTTTCAGGAGCAGGTTAGGGCTGCAGGGAAGGGTTTTTTTTGTTTGTTTGTTTGTTTTTGTTTTTTATCTGATTGCACCAACAAGAAGAGTAGTAAGTTTTTTTCACTGACATTTGTTACTGTGTGCAGGAGGAATTGATGTCCTCACTCTGAGCATTCAGCCCACACAAGTTCCTAAAC